GCGGTTGTCAATACAAAGGTGCTGTTGTGCGCACTGCTGAAGCTGCCAGGCACAAGCTCTCCTATCAAGCTTTCGGTGGCAATTCACTCCTCTCCAGCAGCACCCCCTTCCGCCACCCCTTGAAAACATCCGCCACTGCCGTTGTTATCAGCCCGCGCCCGCCCGCTGCCTCGCCAGTCTCGGTCCCCAGCCAGTCTGGTCCTCCAGGCCTGCGCCGTGGCAGGCCTGGTGCGCGAGCCGCTTGTTGTCTGGCACAGTCAAACAGCCGCGTGCGTGCAGAGATGTGCGGTCCACTCTACCAGGTGCATCGCCTGGATCTCTCCACCTCGGAGTGGGCACTTGTGGCCTGGCCCGGTGTCCTACAGGGCTTGCAGCATGCTCTTGGGAAACACGCAAGCCCAGGGGCCTAGCCGAGCGGATGCATAGGGGATAAGGGGGTACAACTGAATTGAGGGATCATGGCTAGAAAGGCTAGGGTCTTGGCCAGGTGGTCGGGAGGTGCCAGGGGCTCGGCCAACCAGGCCAGCGGGCTGTGGTAGCAGCACGCCGCGTGCAGGAGGGGATGGCCTTGCACCAAGGTTGCGCGGCAAGAGCCTCTTACAGAGCTGCAATGCAAGCCTGCTGCCGGTTGCGCCTTGCACTGCACCGCGGCCTGAGTGCTGCCACGGACCCTGCAATAGAGAGACACTGGCGGCCGCCTATCAGAGCCTGCAGGTAGGCGTGAACAGGCGCCAAAGTCTTGGCCCTGGATCTCCACGCATCGTGGCGCTCATCGCAGCGTTGTTACTCACACGACGCATCGCGGCGCTACAAGGCAAGCATGGGTTGCCAGCGACGGCTGTCGCTGCCAAGACGACGACGTTTTTGGCGTCGCAGCGGCCTCAACGGCATTGCAGGTGTCTGGCCTCGCCCGCATGGCCCGACACCACTGTTGATTTGGCAACTCAATTGAGAGGGGCCAGGGTGTTGACGTATGTGTAGCTGGACAGCAGAACAAACAGCTTGCGATACCTGGCATGGACAAGGAGAGGGACAGGGGGCGCCCATGAGACCAGCAGCGAGGTGTGTATGTCACAACGCGTCGTCCTGCAAACACGGCACGGCTTTGTGCTGCCAGCAATCCATGTGCCTGCGTGCTGTGAGCTCTTGCACGCTTGGGACCTGCACGCCTGTGCGCCGACCTTGGCATGAACCTCTTCAAGCAGTCTGCACGCTGTGAAGGTGTGATGAGCACACCCCTCAGGCCAATGCGGGTCCGCCCGGCCCCACCAGTGCAGTCGCGCCGTTACCCACCAGACCCACTGGCTGGCGTGTGCGCGCATCGCTGCCAGACTGGTGCCCAAGGAGCCGCCCGCCAGCACGAGCGCGCCCCGCGGCGCCAGGGTGCGCGACAGCCAGGTGTCTGCGATTGACAAGAACTTGCGGGGCAGGCCCAAGCTGACCTGCCAAGGCCGATACACATGGGTGCAGGGGTGGTCGCTTTGGGAGGCTTGGGGGAACCGCATAAGGGAACAAGGAGCTGGTTGGTTGGGGCCCTTGAAGCGAGCTGCCGTGTCGGCACTCGCCGGTGCGCGACAGCACTGCCTGCATCTGAAATTGGCGTGCTGGCAAGGGACAGGCGCTGGTGCTGTTGGACGTGAGCCTCTCAAGCGGCCGCCACACCCACCAGCTGCCAGGCGCTGGTGACACCCAGGGCGGGCCCCCTTGTCTGCAGGAGCGACCTGGGCGGGCCAGGAGATGGCGGCGTCGTCGCTGATTGCAGGGATGAGGGCGGCACGATGTGCAGGTCATCACACCCGGGCGCACCAGAGGGTCACAGCTGACGCGTCCCTGGCGCAGCTGCTGTTGAGAACGCCAGACTCACCGCACGCCGCGATGCACGGCGGTGTGGTTGGCGTGGCCAGACACGCCGCGTGCATCAAAGGTGAGCACCTGCAGAGGGGGTATGGCGGCTGTGGGCGCTACACTGGCGGACGGATATCTAGCATGCACCCTCTCACTCTCCCCCTTGCAAAAGGCTGCCAATTACGAGGATTGCGCGCCAGGCCGAGACACCAGGTCAAACGCCAGCCGACGAACCGTGTCGCAGCGGCGCTTCTGCAGCTCGGCCGCCACCAGGTCGGCCACAGTGGCCTCAGGCCAGGCCGTCGCTACCCCGTCCCGCAGGCGTGGGTGGTCGACCACGGTGACGCGGTCCGCGGGGATCTGCAAGACGCCCCGAATGTGGGGTTTCAGCGGGGAACAACGTGAATGGGCATGTGACGTGCCCCTGACTGCGCGGTTGGGTTGCCTCAGCCCCGCAGCTGCCATGCCCCAAACGCGTCGTCGCGAGGGGCCGCCCACCTGAAGAACCCTGCATGCCGCGTAGAGCTCCTTCTCACGCACCCGTCCGAGGCCGTCGGCGTCGCCTGCAAAAGACGGCGCAGTGTGTGTGCGAAGGCTGGGGCGCGGTATTGTTGCTTGCTTGCTGCTGATTTGTGCGCTCACCAGTGGACAAGCACAGGATGGTCACCAGGTCTCCGTGCCTCGCATAGTGCGCTAGCGAGGGAGCAAAGAACATCGCCTCATCGTCTGGGTGGGCTGTGACGAGGAGAACGGAGCTAGGAGGCATGTGTTCAAACGCGATCTACTTTGCTGAGATCACATTGCGAAAACTTGCGTACGATATCAACTTCATGGTAATATCACAATGTGAAGGTGTGCTGTGGTGCACAATAACATACAGACCCGCCGTTGCTTTCGGGCAAAAGTCTCGGCCGTTCACCCCGCACGACACATTGTTCTTCTAGATCCCGACCCAGTCACAAGAGTTAAGGAGGAGCATTTATTATCAGTTGTTGATGTATAAGCTTGGCTGCGTTCAAAATCCTTGTCTTATCGAGCCCTCCAGCGTGCTTTGCCACGGTGGCTTATCGAGCACGCCTGAGCGGGGTGCATCAAGCAGTGGAAGTCTCACTGGCGGCGAGACGTGGCAACGGCCGCTGGGTAAGCTATCTCGTTGAGGGGTGTGCATGTGCTTCAGCGGCGCCGCGCATGAGCTGCATGCTGCGCAAGGCGCTTGCGAGCACCCTCCAGGCGTGTCAAGCAGACCATGTATGTTCCATCGTCCAATCGTCATCCTGCAGGCACACCCCGCAGGTGCGCTTGCACCGGGGGCGGGTGTCGCAGGTTGCACATGTTGTCGTGCGCGGCGCAGCCTGGCCTGGGCGCCAAGCTCTGGGCGTGGCGGGTGCGATTGGCAGCCGCTGCAGTAGCGGCGCCCCTACCAGGCCCGCATCCTGGGTGTTCGCCGATCAAGCCGCGTCGCGAAAAATGGGACGTGGCCGCTGCAGCCCCGACGGCGCCCACCGGTGACGGCGGCGATGCACCAGGCGGTGGCAGCACGCGCCATGCGCCTGCTGCAGCTGCGGGTGGTGGAGAGGCGCCCCTCCTCGTCCGTAGCGGCGCGCGCAGCCGCGCAGAGCGCGTCTCCGCCCTGCACGTCAGGGCACGCCAGCTGCTGCTCCAAACGTCGGCCAAGCGGCCACGCGGGCGGCCCCGCAAAGACATCCCTTTAGACGCGGCCGCAGCGGCCCCTGTGGCCGCGCCGGCGGCGGCAGAGCGCCGGCCGCCCGACAAGCCCAAGCGGCGGCGCCGCCAGCAGCAGCAACAGCAGGCGGCTGCCCAGCAGGATAAAGAGCCGCGGCTTCGGGCGCGGGGCACAGGGACGACCGGCGCGCCGACAGTGGTGGCTGCTGCAGGCGTGGCCATGCCTGCTCACGCCCCCTGCGCAGCAGCGGCCCCGGACACGTCAGAAGCCCAGACGCCTGTGGCGACAGGCCAGCAGCACGGTGAGCTGCAGCAGCAACAGCAACAGCAACAACAGCGGGAGCAGGAGCGGGAGGGAGAGCACAAGCAGCAGCAGCAGCAGCAGCAGCAGCAGCAACAGCAACAGAAACGGGAGCAGGAGCGGGAGGAAGAGCACAAGCAGCAGCAGCAGCAGCAGAAGCAGCAGCAGCAACGGCAACAGAAGCGGGAGCAGGAGCGGGAGGGAGAGCAGCAGCAGCAGCAGCAGCAGCAGCAGCAGCAGCAGCAGCAGCAGCAGCAGCAGCAGCAGCAGCAGCCCCGCCACGAGTCCAAGGACGTGCGCGCCGAGCGGCAGGCTCGGCTGCGAGCCGCGCGGTCCTTCGCGCCGGGAGACGCTGCCGCGTCAGCCCCGGCCCGGCTCGCTGGCGGCGGCAAGGCGGGCCCCCAGGGTGCGTCCGCGGCGGCGGCGGCCGCGGGCGGCGCTGCTCACGAGGACGACGCAGGCCATGGCGCCGAGCCGACACCGCTTGCGCCACCAGACTGGACGCACCCAGAGGTGTGCTGGGGGCCCTAGACGTGGCCAACCCAACGCAATGGATGGCCGTGTGCCCCCAGCCAGGCCCCATGCACAGCCGTGCGCCCTTGCTCTAAGAATCTCAAGTGCTTGCGCGTATGAGCTTTGCACAAGGCCCGCGTTGCATGCACGACGCTGCCTCACCCTCCCCTCCTCTTTCTCCACCACCTCACCCACCCACCCGCTGCGCCGCAGGTCAGGGAGGCGCGGCTGTCGCAGCTGGCGGCGCGTGTGCTGCGCTACTGGGCCACCCACAGGGCCCAGCTGACGGGCGTGCTGCTGCCCTCCCTGGAGCTCGCCCTGCAGCTGCGCGGCAGCTGCTCCGACGAGGAGCTGGTGACCATGGCCCTGTCGCTCCCGATCGCGGCCGCGATGCCGCCGGAAGAGATCCGGACGGCAGCCGCTGCGGCGCGCCGCGCCGAGGGCGGGGGCGCCGGCGGCGGCGGCGCCTTGCCCTCTTGCGCGTGGCTTATGGAGGCGGCGCTGCGCCACTCGGCCTGCGACGCAGCCGCGCGGCTGCGGCTCCTGTACGCGCTGCCTGACGCGCTGAGGGCGAGCGAGGAGCAGCTGGCGGCGCGCGCGGCGTGGGTGCGGGGGGAGGTGGCGCGGCACGAGCGGTTGGTGGCGGCGCACCCTGTGCTGTGGGAGGGCGTGTTGAACGAGGCCGCGGCGGCCAGGGTGCAGCTGCTGGAGCGGCGCGTGGTGCTGGACCCGGCCGCGGCACAACGCGCGCGGGGCCGCGCGGCGCGGCGCGCGTCCAGGCAGCAGCGGGTGGAGGGGGATGGCGGCGAGGAGGGCGGCGGGAGCGAGGGGCCGGCGGCAGGGGCGGGGCCTGGTGAAGCGCAGGCTCAGGCGGCGGCGGACGGGAACTCCAATTGCGACAAGGACGGGGAGGGGCAGGGGTTGAGTAGCGGAGGCGCCAACGTGTCAGGCGACGTCGACGAGTGCCCGCCCTCGCCTCCGCCAAACGGCCCCGCCGCCGGAGCCCTGCCTGCCGGCTCGCTGCGGCTGATAGATCGTGCAGCGGCTGCCGCCGGCATCGTGCAGCACCTGGATGTCAGCGCGCCGGACGGCGTATCTCATCCAGCGGAGGCGCCACAGCGCGGCCCCCACGCGGAAGAGCTCGCGCGTGCAGTCGGCGCCGCCGCCGCGCTCGCATCGGGCGCCGGCCGCACCGGCGCCGGCGGCGCGGCGGGGCTGGTCGAGCGCGTCGCGGCGCTGTGCCTGGCGCAGATGGCGCACGCGCCGCGGCAGTACCTACGAGACTACGTCGGCGCCGTCGCCGCCGCAGCAGAGGCCGCCGCGGCCGCCGGCCCCTCGGCGCCGCCGGCGGCGGCGGCCGCGGCGCGCGTC